TCATAACACATCATTTTACACTACCCATGCTATCATAACACATCATTTTACACGACCCATGCTATCATAACACTACCCATGCTATCATAACACATCATTTTACACTACCCATGCTATCATAACACATCATTTTACACGACCCATGCTATCATTTCACACTACCCATGCTATCATAACACATCATTTTACACTACCCATGCTATCATATCATTTTACAGTACCCATGCCATCATAACACATCATTTTACACTACCCATGCTATCATATCATTTTACACTACCCATGCTATCATAACACATCATTTCACACTACCCATGCTATCATAACACATCATTTTACACTACCCATGCTATCATAACACTACCCATGCTATCATAACACATCATTTTACAGTACCCATGCTATCATAACACATCATTTTACACTACCCATGCTATTCTGTGCATGTGTATCACCACACATACACACACATGGTTTTCTCACAAAAAAAGGGCTGACTATCAACTCTCTTGCAACGAACATACCAAGATACTTAAAATCACTTTTGGGGAAATTCCAGTTCTCAACCACTTCTGCTATTAATAGTAACAGTTTCATACACTTCTTGCAATTAAAAACAAAAAACCCTTTGTTTTGCTAAGCATTAAAGTCCATCAATTTTGTTAAGACTCTTTACTGGCAAAGTGAGAAAAACAAATCAGTCCGATTTATCAGCAATAATCACATTGCTAGAAACCTCTTGGTATCTGTGCATTGTGATATCACAACTGGAAGTCCATTAATCATAACTTACTTACCTCCAATTTCTCTCTCTTGCTCAGTTTTGACAAATCTCTTGTGATTTTTTCTTCTACAGCTTTCTTTTCTTTCCCTTCTTCCTTCTTCTGTGGCTGAAATAAACTTTAAAGTTAGACTTCTATACATTTGAAATCAGATTTTGGTGCAGTACACACACTGCTCAATTGTTTCCTTATCCTACAGATCAAATTACATACTATTAGAGGCTTGTTCACTAAAAAAACTGGGCCATCAACATTCCGATATTGTTTTGTTCCCAAACGTAACTAGAACAAATAACAATTAATGAACATTGTTTTCCCTAATTCTTAGGCAAAATATTTCAAAATATACAATTTGTATGTTCATGTGTAAGTAATATGGAAGTTTTAGTTTGTTGTGCCAAACTTGTTTATCATGGATAATCTAGAATTTAAATAAACTTTTTAGCTCACAACAGTATGGTATTTAGGAAATAAATTCATTCTTCAATCATAAATTACAATTTTGCTAAATTGATAAGTCTGTGAGTTAGATAAAGATTAATTCTTCTCATCTTGAAGTATTGTTTAAACTAGCTTTATCAAATAGCATTAAAAATTCAACTTGTAGTGATAACATCCTCTAGCATGTAGGTGATGAAAAACTGGCATGTCAGTTTAACATACTGCTTGTTTCTTTCTTCTAGATTCTTCAAGAATCCAAGAATGTCTTGTTGTGATTGATGAAACAATGGATATATTTATTTTGTATTTCATTTTTTGACCCAATCAGATTGTTCATTTATGGTTAAAACTTGTAAGAACCAAATCAGTTTCTTCAGTTAGTTAAAACTTGTTTTAACCTATAAGCTTGTTCAATTCACAGTTAATACTTGTTTTAACCTATAAGCTTGTTCAATTACAGTTAAAACTTGTTTTAACCTATAAGCTTGTTCAGTGTACAGTTAACACTTGTTTTAACATATAAGCTTGTTCAGTGTACAGTTGTTTTAACCTATAAGCTTGTTCAGTGTACAGTTGTTTTAGCGTATAAGCTTGTTCAGTGTACAGTTAAAACTTGTTTTAACCTATAAGCTTGTTCAATGTACAGTTAAAACTTGTTTTAACCTATAAGCTTGTTCAATTTACAGTTAATACTTGTTTTAACCTATAAGCTTGTTCAATGTACAGTTAAAACTTGTTTAACCTATAAGCTTGTTCAGTGTACAGTTAAAACTTGTTTTAACCTATAAGCTTGTTCAAAGTACAGTTAAAACTTGTTTTAACCTATAAGCTTGTTCAATTTACAGTTAAAACTTGTTTTAACCTATGGTTTAACAT